GAACATTTCTGAAAGCCTGTCTCTGTAGTGCTAGGCACACACAGCCTCTGTGCTCTGCGTATAAATAATTCCCTTTACCCCCACATCCTATAGTGCAGGAACTTGTAGTCCCGCTTCAGGGCCGACATCTCATTATAAGTAGGAAGTCAGGTTTGCACTTAAACATGGCTCAGACTGTTGCCTCCCACTAGCTGTGTTAACAAAGATTATAACAAGTCATCAAACAAGATGAGGCTAGTTGAGAACTTTGGGAATTTGCACAATCTGAGCATACTGGGTATTTCATGTCAAAAAGCAGCTGCAGTCATAATCAGTCAGACCACCTCATTCCTCTAAAGTCCTCCGGTGCATTACAACTACCGGAACTATGACACTAAAAATTTGTTAAATTGTCCTGCAGTTCGTCTATGGTCTGTTGCCTGCTTTTTCCCTCTGGCTATGTCTCCAGCTTATTGTGGAGCCTCAGCCTCACTGACCAACCCTCTTTCAGGTGGTCTCCATATGCTTAGGGGCACTCTTAGAATTGTGCTTTGAAAGTCCAGTAAAGGTGGAGTCGTCTCTGTCCTCTCTGTCCTGGTTATGACAGTACCCCCACCTAGTTTCAGGATGCCAGCTGGCATATAGAAAACTCAATAAGTACAAAGTTTTCTTTGAATAAATGAATGAATTGTGGGCTGTCGACATTGCAGCCTTTGCTAGGTCACATGTCAAGTCTCAGAAATGGCACAAAAGAGCCCTGTTTTGGAAAGTTTTGTTGGAGCATAGGTCAAGCCTTGCAAAACATTGAAAAGGTCCTCAAGCTTTGCCTTATTGTCTCATTCAGGAAAGGGTCTCTGCAAGTGTCCAGAGCCTCTGTTGGGTCAGTGAATGAGCAGTAAACAAGCAGCTGACCAAACAGCAAGCCATTTCATTCCAGCCAGAGCTCACCTTCCCATAACCCCTGCTAACTCCTTTCTTCACTGGGAGGCTTTATCCAGCATTTCACTGTCCCATTTGGCCTCACCCAGGCTCCAGCTTGGCTACTCTCTTTTGTGACTCCTAAGAGCTCTTCACCCCTCCTCCGTCTTTCCTATGAGAAGTCCATCGGGCTCTTCCAGGATTTGTAGAAGGCATGTTGATGACTCCTTTAACTTTGCAATCATTTTGCCTGGCAATACCCCAGGGCTATAAGGCTTAATCCCAAGGGTGTGGGAATCTCCTTACAGATGCTCTGAAAATACACTAAAGATAGAAATGGAAACAAGACAACAAAATTCCCTCTTCCAACCAGACAACTAAAATCAGAAACTACTACTGAAGTACTGCCCTTGTCCTTAACATCAACCACTTTCAAAGATGCCCTCCTGAAGGAGCTAAGAGCCATTAACTCATGTATGTGAGTGATTTCCAGCTTCTGAAAAAGCCCTGCCCAGCGGTGATGACATGTTAATAGGAGACCAGCCAGGGCTGCAAAGAACCTGCCAGAGAACAGGGACAAGACTAAGAAAAGTGCTCTCCCTGGAGCAGGTTCAAAGAGACCAAAGAAATGGCCTCGTGGGAAAAAGACTTCTGGGTGGAGTTTTCAACTTCTGGTAACTATTAAAACTATTATTTATGGAGCATACAATCCAGGGCCTTGTACATAGAAGGCAAGGACTCTACCTCTAAGCTGTCCCCATCCCCAGCAATATTATTTTGATGCTAGATGAGCCATTTTTTAAAAACAATCACATACTCATCTTAATGTACTCTAATTTTTATAATCTTGCATTTATCATTTTGACCATCAATGTTTACTTAACTATAGTGTTGAATACTCACCTTCTATCTGATTTTCTCAATTACAAATAGTGCCTTCTCTTCAACATCTTCATGAACCACAGTTTTTCTCCTTTCAGATTATTGGCTTTAAGTATATCCCAAGGCATCTGCATATTACAACCAAAAAGAGAGTGCCAAATAACACCTTGTATATTATCAAATAAATTATAAAACAGAATGTCAATCATAGTGTTACCAGCAACACAGTAATTTTTCAGGGCAACAGTTTCTGCATGCATTCTTTTGCTGATAAGGAAGACCATTTTAGTTTATGAATCACTAGTAGTCAAAATTTTTTTAAATTGGGCAGTGTATACGACAGTGTAAGTTCAGCCACAACTGATACACAAATCTTACAGGTGCCAGTTTTCCCTCTTTATGTAGCCTGTGGCTTTAACCCACCTCACTCCAAGTGCTGTACAAGGCAGTGACAATATAGATGTGACATGAGTAAGGCCTGAGGTTTTATAAAACTTATGTTACCAGATAAATGCCTTTACACAGCAGCATGGTAGACTGCAAACTGTAACAGAGGACACAGCTTTTACCCTTACTTTATTCTGTTCTGTAGCACTTAGTAAAACTTGCTTAAGTCTTCATAAAGCCTGGGGTTGTTTTTATCACCATGTTGTAAATGAGGAATCTATCACAGCAAGATGAGGTTCCCAGGGACTAAGGGGCAGGTGAGGACCTGATGTTACCCTTACTTAGAGGCTCAACACAGAGCTAGAGGCCCGAGGGCCACACGGCAGCAAACACCCTGATATCAGATCCTAGGTCAGAACCTTACGGACTGAAATCTCTACGGTTGGGTCACAGATGCTAAGGCAGGCTTCTGGAAGTCTCAGGAGAGAAGCCTCCAAAACACTGCCAATTCAGCATTTTGGAAGGAATCTGTGTTTCTACATTTGCTCCTAGCTCTCCCCCTGAGATGATGGAACAGATGGCCCAACACATGTGGTGGCCAGAAGGAGCAGGGTTCCAGCAGCTGAGGCTACCCGTCCCTAGACACGACCTGGGGGCTCCAGGGTACTTCCTGGACCGGGTACCATCTCAGCGGGCCACAGGGGCTCAGTGTGGGCTCAGAGAACACAGATGGACAAGTGCAGGGTGGGTGTGCATGGGAAAACGGGAGGGGTGATGCTCATGTCTCGGGCCTGGCCAGGTTTGATGGAGAATCCCAGAGAAAGCTGGCTCCCCCCTCCTCAGAGTCTTGTCTCCCCCCCCCCCCCCCGCAATGGAGAAAGGCTCCAGATGTGGGAGCACTTGCCATAGAGACCAAGTGCTCCTGGCTTGGGCTTGGTGCAGTCAGAGGATAGGAGGGGTGACCTTGAACTCTCAAGAGTTCAGGATCCTGTGCCTCTCGCTCAAATAAAACCACCGTCAACAACTAGGTAAAGTTATGGAAAATAAACCCCGAAGTCCTGGGCTCATGTAAAATCACAGGAACCAGGAGGCTGCTGGAGTTTTGTCACAGTTTGCTGGTTCCATCTGTACACTAAATGTGTCTATGCCCCAAATATCGATGCTTTAACGAAGAGGTCTGACATACCCAAACGCCCACCCCTTTTTGTTAACAGAACATAGTGGCCTCATAAAAAGATAAGAACCAGCCTGTGCCATGTGTTTTGTCAGTAGTATGTTTATTTCTATATCCTCAAATATCTTTAAGTGTGGTGGAAAAATTAAGTTGGGACTAAATGCAGCACAGACTTTAGTTTCCTCTTCCACCAGCCTGCTCCAGGGCTGGAGACAGTTCCACAATCACTATAACCTTTCAACTGAGTTGGGGAATGAATTCCTGAACATCATGACGATGCTCTAGGGGCTTGGGGTTAAGACTTTACATGTACATGTAGAGGGAAATAAGAAATTAGGCAAAAGAGGTGCGATGCTTGAAAATCATAGTTAATCTATAAGCAGGAGCAAGACAGACTCCTTTGGGTGCATGGCCAGAGGTTGTATGGTCCCACACTGGTTGCCAGCACACTGGAAAGGCAAGGAACCTGGTATCCTGTCAGCCTAAGCGAGCCTCAGAGCAAAGGGGATCCATGATGCAGTCCCAGTGTGGGGCTGACCATCTGGAAGCTCCTACTTGTCACTGGATGAGTCTGTGTTGAAATGCTAGATGAGCTGGTCTGATGTCTGTCAGTAACAGCAGGAGTAACAGACACACACTCAGGAAGAACAGAGCTTATGCGTGCTGGATGGCCTTCTCTTTTCCACTTTTATTCCATCTGGGTCCCCAGCCTGCTGGATGAAGCCGTCCGTACATATTCAAGCAGGTGGTTCCTCAACAGTTGCCATCCCACCTGTGAGTTCTCTCTAGAAATGCCCTTAGAGACACACTTAACAGTGTACTTTTACTTCATGCATGCATGCTAGGCTGCTCTGCCACCTGACACACAGCCCCAGGCCCTTGAGGCTTCATTTGTATTTCTCCACTATCATCTGGCTGAACACTCCCACCCAGTTGATTCTCT